TGTTGTTATTCTGTCTCTCACTGTTCAAATAAACCTACCATTAAAATTATAGACTGGTCATGTCTTTGTCAGTGGGCAAACGTACAAAATCAGCAGGGGATCAAATACTTTTTTCCCCTCACTGTAGCACGCAGATTGGTAGAAATGGCAAGATAAATTGGCACTCCAAATGGAAAAGGTTGCCGACCCCTGGTGTAGCCTATTACCGGCAACTTCGGGAGCATAAGAGCCAATTTAGGCTTGATCTGAAAATGTGGTCAGAGGCGCAGTATGAATGGTGTGACGCAATTGCGGGGCCTCCGGCGGCACACAGAGGCCAAATTGAGCTCCGTACCGCATCACCTGTGAGCCTCTCAAAAATGTTTACAGTGCAGAGGGCTCTGTATAGCTCCGCATTGACATGATTGGTTGACGGTAGATGAGGGCGGGAGGTCTTGTATAAACACACTCACTTCCTTGACAACTTCCTTCACAACAGCTCTGTGCTGCTCGGCGAAACGCAAGAAGTATGAATGCCCTGACTTCTGCAGAGGCCATATCACCGTAAATGCTGCACGGCAAATGCAGATGTCGGATTGACCATGCAGAGCCTTTAATGGCAGAATCGGTGAAGGCCAGCAGCAGTAGGAGGAGGTGGTTCGTGAACTGTTTATCTATATTTTCTTTTTCTGGTTAGGCTACCTTGATCTCTGGCTCCCTCTTGAGTCATTTGTGTGTCTTAATTATTTAATCACAGTGTGCTTAAATCTGTCACGCCCTGGCTCTGGGGACTCTTAAATGTTGAGCCAGGGTGTGGATTTTCATTGTTTAGTTTTCTATGTTTTTGTTCTAGATCGTGTTGATCTATGTTGGCCAGGGTGGTTCCCAATCAGAGACAGCTGTAGCTCGTTGTCTCTGATTGGGGACCATACTTAGGCAGCCTGTTGGCACCAGTTAGTTTGTGGGATCTTGATCCGTAAAGGTTTGGTGTGTGTAACCTCAGGACTTCACGTATCGTTGGTTTGTTGTTTTGGTTTTGTTTGTGTGTTAAGTACTAATTAAAGATGTACGCTTATCACGCTGCGCCTTGGTCCGTCTCATCTAATAACGATTGTGACAGAAGATCCCACCTAAAGAGGACCAAGTAGCGTGTCCAGGAACAGACAGCCTGGACTTGGGAGGAGATCCTGGACGGGAAGGGATCCTGGACTTGGGAAGAGACTGTGGAGGCGCGCTACAGAGAGGAGCAGCGGCAACGCAGAGGGTACCAGCCGAGGAGGAAGCCCGAGAGACAGCCCCAATAATTTTTTTGGGGGGGGCTTAAAGGGTGGTTGGCGGAGCCTAGAGTTAGAGCAGAGCCAACTCCCCGTACTCAGGCTAGGAAGCGTGAGACTGGGCAGGCTCCGTGTTATGCGGAGCCACGTACTGTGCCGCGAGTGTTCCGGCACAGTCCTGTACGTCCGGTGCTAGCACCACGCACGTGTCGTGCTAAGATGGGCATGCAGCCAGGACGGGGTGTGCTGGCTCAACGCTCGTGGCCTCCAGTACGCCTCCTCGGTCCCATATATCCTGCACCAGTGCCACGTGCTGTAGTGCCAGTACGAGTGCACAGCCCTGTACGTCCTGTGCTGATGCCTCACACATATTGTGTGGAAATAGGCATTCAGCCAGGACGGGTTGTGTCAGCTCTCCGCTCCAGACCTCCAGTCCGCCTCCACAGTCCAGCCCGGCCTGTTCCTGTCCCGCGCACCAAGCCAGTGGTGCGTGTCGCCAGCCCGGTCCGGCCTGTTCCTGACCCTCGCACCAAGCTAGTGGTGCGCGTCGCCAGCCCGGTCCAGCCCGTTCCTGCTCCCCGCACCAAGCCAGTGGTGCGCATCGTCGGCCCGGTCCGGCCCGTTCCTGCTCCCCGCACCAAGCCAGTGGTGCGCGTCGCCAGCCCGGTCCGGCCCGTTCCTGCTCCCCGCACCAAGCCAGTGGTGCGCGTCGTCAGCCCGGTGCGGCCTGTTCCTGCTCCCCGCACCAAGCCAGTGGTGCGCGTCGCCAGCCCGGTCCGGCCTGGTCCTGCTCCCCGCACCAAGCCAGTGGTGCGCGTCGCCAGCCCGGTCCGGCCTGGTCCTGCTCCCTGCACCAAGCCAGTGGTGCGCGTCGTCAGCCCGTTCCTGCTTCCCGCGCCAAGCCAGTGGTGCGTGTGTCCAGTCCGGCACGGCCCGTGCCTGGTCTGGCACCGGTCAGCTGCTCCACTCCGGAGTCAGAGCAATCTGCTCCACCGGTGTCCAGTCCAGCTCCGGCCAGTGGCTCCAGTCCGGAGCCGGTAAGGTTTGGTCCACCGTCGTCGGGTCCAGCTCCAGTCAGACCAGAGCCAGACCAGACCAGGGGCGCAACGGGGAGGTGGAGAAAAGGTGGTGGTCACGCCCGGAGCCGGATCCGCCTCCGAGGCGGAATGCCCACCCGGCCCCTACCCTCTTGTGTTTGTGTGGCGCGGTCGCAGTCCGCGCCTTTGGGGGGGGGGGGGGGGGGGTACTGTCACGCCCTGGCTCTGGGGACTCTTAAATGTTGAGCCAGGGTGTGGATTTTCATTGTTTAGTTTTCTATGTTTTTGTTCTAGATCGTGTTGATCTATGTTGGCCAGGGTGGTTCCCAATCAGAGACAGCTGTAGCTCGTTGTCTCTGATTGGGGCCCATACTTAAGCAGCCTGTTGGCATCAGTTAGTTTGTGGGATCTTGATCCGTAAAGGTTTGGTGTGTGTAACCTCAGGACTTCACGTATTGTTGTTTTTTTTGTGTTTTTTTTGTTCGTTTGTTAAGTACTAATTAAAGATGTACGCTTATCACGCTGCGCCTTGGTCCGTCTCATCTAATAACGATCGTGACAAGCTTAGTAGCCTACATATAGTTGACTTCATTAAAACACAGGGTGTGTCTATTTATGGAAGAATACACATTTTAAAATTTCCAGTCGATTAGTCGAAAGAACAGATGACTATTGGTCCACCAATACTTTATTTTAGCCCGCGAAAGCCCTAGTATAGTTCAGTACATTATAGTGTACTCAATTCTAGTGTGCTCTGCTGTCTACTGTGCTGAACTATACTTTTCTTTACTGTACTGTACTTTGCTGATTTCCCATTGTAGCCAATTAAATTGCACCAATTCCCTTACCGATTCGTTGGAAATTGGTAACGGAATTTCGAGTTTAAATCACTTAATAATTCATAAATATATCAGTATAAACACTAACTAATTGATAGGTCTACCTTGTTACTTCTGTGAACTTTCATTATCCTCCCTCCTTATGAGGGAGATAAATTAGAATGTGGGTTTTTGGTAATGGAATTTCAAGGCGCAAGGCAATGTTTCTTAAACTTACAGAAGGTGAATTTAGTTTGGATACATTTTTCCTTGTTGATATTAGTTGGCAGGGGTCTTTACTTCAACTTTATTGTGTTATGATATATTTCTAATACATATGTAAGACTTTTTCTAAGACCCCTTTTCCATCTGTTTGACCAGAAATCAAAGCATTTTTGGGGTGGAAAATGGTGGAAACATTTATATATGCCTTAATAAATATAAAAAAAATGGACTCTTAGCTTTCAATTTCACATGCTCCTATGAACATATATATTTTTTATAAATTTTATTTTTCTGCCTTTTTGTCATTTAGCAGACGCTCTTATCCAGAGCGACTTACAGTTAGTGAGTGCATACATTTTATATATATATTTTTTTTCATACTGGCCCCCCGTGGGAATCGAACCCACAACCCTGGCGTTGCAAACGCCATGCTCTACAAACATCCCTGCCATTCCCTCCCCTACCCTGGACGACGCTGGGCCAATTGTGCGCCGCCCCATGGGTCTCCCGGACGCGGCCGGCTGCGACAGAGCCTGGATTCGAACTAGGATCTCTAGTGGCACAGCTAGCACTGCGATGCAGTGCCTTAGACCACTGCGCCACTTCATGTTGGTGCTCATGGGTCCTTTCATAGGAAATGGCGAGGGAACTAATATCGATATAGAAGGTGTCTGTCTGGTAACTGCCACTCTACATATCCCCTCCCCCCTCTCTCAATCACACACACACACTCCTCTGCTCAATCTGCGGGGTGTCTGACCCAATTCTGTGAGGAGAGGAAAACTGATGTTGGCTAGAAATTGGGGAAAGGGGATACCTAGTCAGCACAACTGAATGCATTCAACCGAAATGTCTTCCGCATTTAACCCAACCCCACTGAATCAGAGAGGTGCGGGGGGCTGCCTTAATCGGCAACCACGTTACCAACGTTCTATGGTCCTCTGTAGCTCAGCTGGTAGAGCACGGCGCTTGTAACGCCAAGGTAGTGGGTTCGATCCCCGGGACCACCCATACACAAAAATGTATGCACGCACGACTGTAAGTCGCTTTGGATAAAAGCGTCTGCTAAATGGCATATTATTATTATTCTAACTGCTAGGCTTCGCGTGCGTGAGCGTTACAAAATAAATGTACACATACTTGTTATTCAATCATTGCACCCACACTGCTCGTGCGTCATCGAGCGTCTGCGTGGCCAGGCGCTAAAATAGAACTCTGTTCTATTTGTGACGCTCAACACGCTGCAAGTCCTGCCTCTCCCATCTCCTCATTGGTTTTTAGGAGCATCTACCCACGTGGGCAATTTGAAAGACACACTCCAGTCTAGTTTTATCTGTGGATTAATTGTCGAAGTAGTGGACCTTGTGCATTTCAGGTAAAATAACAACCCAATGTTTATATTCCAGGACAAAGTAGTTAGCATCAGCAAGCTAGCTAGCTAAATTGCCCTAAATGTTTAATGCTTTTCGACCTGTCCCCAAATTAATATAATTGGTTCAGAGTTTATTTTGATATTTCAACCTGCGTTTCTTGATCGTGTCTGGTGTGGGGGGACAAAATTACCTTGCGCGCGATGGCAGACGCACGCACGCGTGCGTGCGGTCTGGTTATCATGTCAGTTAGCGGAGTGTCGTTGAAATTCACCACTAAGTACTTTTCCCTCACAGGAGTTTACCCTGAGATGAAGAGTAATTTACTGCGGAAGAGAGAGATCGGGATGGAGCGAGAGAGAGGGGTGAGGTGATGGAGATGAAGCTGTATTGAAAGCCTGTGATCTCTCAGCCGTTAACGAGCTGTGTGTGTGTCAGGATTTCTGTGAGTAAAATGTAGCGCCAGACACACGCAACCGGTGTACTTCTTACCGAATTCTGATGCGCAATTGGAAGAGATTAGAATAACTGTCCACGTTTACTTTTACTCAGCCAACAAGACGCGTAACGAACAGCGAAATCACTAGCCTATATCAATGTAGGCCTACTATCCCCCATAGTAGAAACGTGTATATATTCTATTGGTTAGCTTGCAGTTCTGTGCTAGGAAGAAAAGTATATTCCAAACAAACTCTGGACAGTTGTGGGACGATAGATCCCAAATTCATACAACCAGTAGGCCTAGGCTACATAAAAAAAAACGTAAAAAGCAATGAGTCTGATGCAACAGATCAGAACGTTGAGCTTAAAATGTTGATAAACTATTATTTATTCACATAACCGCAGCAGTGTGCACAAGTGTTGGCACAAGGCAGTAAGTAGGCTACGCACAAATGTTAGTTACGTAATGCAATTAGCGTTGTCAAAAGCGCACCGCACATGCGAGTGGTTTCATGAGATGTAGATGAAAATATCTGTTAGCAATTTAGAAAGAGGGGAGATCTAAAAGGTGCGACAACTAGCATCGGTTGCTAATATGACTAGGATTGTGCCTTTGGCTACTGGACAATGAAATAAAGTTGATTTGAAAACCAATAGAACATGAGAGAAATAGGCTATACTGGTTTCAATGGCATATGGCAGTCTCTAGCCTATAAAATAATTGCCTGCACGTTTGGTTTTATTTTGTCTAGGCTACTTTGAAGCAAGGTAAGACATGCCTCATAATATGTAGTAAAACGTTCAGGTTTCAAACAAGTAAGTATGTTTTCAAAATGCATACTTCCGCAAAATGGTGTGAATTGGTGTGTGATGAGCTGAAGCCTGCCTACCTTTGCCTAAGCACTTGAATGGGAAGCGAGCTTCAATTACCAGTTGAGAAATAACAATAGTAGCTCTTTTCAATCATGGCCATCAAAGTGTTTTTAATACGCGATTGCATTTAGAATTATTGCGCAATGATTGGCCTTATAAAAGCATGTTTCCACTCCAGCAGCAACAAACTAGCAGCAGTTCTGGTGCTATATCGACTGGTATTTCAATCAATTAATAGGCAAAAATGCATTTTCACAATGGGATTTATTTTCTTCTCCTGGACAATTGGACAGTGGTAATTTTATTTATCAGCTTTTCATATATTTTTGGGGCCAAAAGCCGGCTATTACCGGCTAACAGAAACCCTGGAGTGAGTGTGTGTAGGAAGCCTCCTAATTTGCTGTTCTCTTAAATTTCTGTAGAAATCAGAGCTGAATTTAGACCCTGCTGCCTGCCCCTCCCCCTCCCTTCTATGAGAACCATTATGCCAGGCAGTAATAGGCTAACTCTCTCTCTCTCTCTCTCTCTCTCTTTCTCTCACAGACACACAGACAGACAGACAGACAGACACAGACAGACAGACAGACAGACAGACACACACACACACACACAGACAGACACACACACACACAGACAGACAGACACACACAGACAGACAGACAGACACACACACACAGACAGACAGACAGACAGACAGACAGACAGACAGACACAGACAGACAGACACACAACAGACAGACAGACACACACACACAGACAGACAGACACACACAGACACACACACACACACACACACACACACAGACAGACAGACAGACAGACAGACAGACAGACAGAGCAGAAGCTAAAAGGGAGAGGAAGGTAAGCTTGTGTCAATGTGTGTATCTCTGTCTGTGTGAGAGAGAGAGTGTTAGCTATGATGGTGGTGAAGTCACTGCTTCAGTTCAATGCTATGAGTCACAGTTTCTCTTAACTCGATGAGCTTTATTTACATGATATTGCTGACAACAAGGAAACGATAATACATGGCATTATGAATAATCACACAAATAATTACACGGTCAAAAGAATAAGAACACAACAACCCAAATAACATACAATTTCAATAACTCTCTCTCTCTCTCTCTCTCTTAGGCTGCCTGTCAGGGTCTCGTTGACCCCCCCGTTCCTCCGATGAACCCCCTCAACTCCATGAAACCCGGTCTGCCTCCCACTCCGCACAGGTACACACACACACACACACACACACACTGAGTGACTCAGAGAGGGAGTGCTGAGCGCATTGTCCTCAGACAAACCGTCAGTTGGCTTTTGGTTGGCTTTGACCTCTCACCGCTCCCGCTATTGGCTTGGCTCTGGGACTCTGGGTGCTCATTGGCTGCTGCTGGCCCTGGCGCTGGAGCGCTGGTTTCCTGTACCAGCGAGTTCACATCCTGTGATTTCAGTTGAGGAAGTGGAGGGTAACCTCAGCCACACACACACACACAAACGTACACACTCAGGAGCCTCCTCTTCCTCAGCTGGGCTGCCCTTACTGGTTTCTAAGTGACTGCTTTGTTGTTGTTATGGAAATGTTGTGGAGTGCCTCTTGAGGATGTGATGTGCTGTGGCACAAGTCATTTAACTCCTACAAAGACTCCCACAAGTTTTTCTCCTCAACAAACGAATAGTCTAATGCAGGGGTTCCTAAAGTTTTAAACTCAGGCCCCCCTTCCAGCATTGGGCAAAATGCAAAACTGATCCTAAAACAGCACTTGGACTCTGACACGCTGGATACACAAGGCCCAGGTCTTTCACGATCAGTGCAGATGGAGAGGAAGCCACTTGTCACTATTGAGATGCACCCCACTGCTGTACATGAATTCATCCCATAATGCCTTTGCTTCCTGTCTCTGTCTTCCTTAGTGACGGTAACTTCCTGTATGACTCTGCCTCCTGGCAACAAGGCACCAATCAACAGCCAGGAGCACTCTCCGTGGTAACCACTGTCTGGGGCGTGACCAATCCCTCGCACAGCCAGGTAACGACCAGCCAATCATGGCCCTCCCTCCCTCTTCTTCCTTTTTCTCACCCATCCTTCTATCTATTTTATCTTAATTTATCAAGGAGAGCAAATTTCTTTTGCCACATTCCAGGCTGCCTACATAGCAGTTGTCCACCAAAACTCACAAGGCCTGAATGAAGTGTATAACTATCAGAATCCACATCAATGGTATCGCAATCCGATGCCCAACTACAACATATGACATGACGTTCATTCATTGTTTAATATGTAAAGCATAAGTGCTTTGCAGACTGTCTGGAATGTCACATGGCGTTTTTCTTCTTCTCTAACACTTTACTGTTTCCACTACCTCACTTCCTGTGTTTCCCCGTCTAGGTGTTTGGAGCGCCCATGGGTCCGGGTGGTAACTCTGGAGGTCACATGATGCAGAGCAGCAGTGGAGGTGGGGGGATGAGTCCCGGTATGAGCCACCAATACCAGAGCTACGGTGATAAGGGCTACGGACAACCAGGGCTTTACGGCCGCCCCAACACCGCCTATAACCAAGCCCCGCCATATGGACAGAGGTAAACAGCTTTGACTTGTTCGTATGGTATATCTTCACCAGGGTCTTGTTTACTGGGCACGAAACGGAAGAAAACCGAGTGAAACGGGGACGTAATATCTGTGAAGTATTCACTAGGCACGAAATGGAAGAAAGTAGACTGAAAGAGGGACGGACTACCTGAACATAAGAAACGCTCGTTTTCGTTTGAAAACAATTTTGCTATGGTGGGCTCTAATGAATTAGACGTACCCCTTGTCCAATCAGAAACACTAATTTGTCTTTTCCATTACAATATATATATTTTAAAGTTGTTAATTTTCATTGCCCGAATGAACACAACCCAGGGGTCCATTCAGTAGGTCAGACACATGGGGAGAATCTCAACGGCATTTCATTAATTCCTCACGTTCTCCCTCTTCGCCTCCTTTTCCAAACCCATTAGTTGAAGGTCTCTCCCCTCTGACCTTCTCATCCAATGGGTTTGGAAAAGGAGCCGAGGAGAGAGGAAGCATGGAATCAAGGAAATGCCATTGTTTATAGTGCTTGACCTCAGGAGTGAGTTCCAAATAATTATATTTTGTCTCTCTCTCTCTCTCTCTCTCTCTCTCTCTCTCTGTCTCTCTGTCTCTCTCTCTCTCTCTCTCTCTCTCTCTCTCTCTCTCTCTCTCTCTCTCTGTATCTTAGTTACTCTAATAATGGTGGTGGCGGAGGAGGTATGGGCCAACGCCCTCCCTCTGACTTCACCCAGGCTGCTGCCGCCGCTGTTGCCGCTGCCGCTGCCACGGCGACTGCCACTGCTACGGCTACTGTTGCTGCCATCCAGGAGAAGCAGAACCAGGAACTGAACTATGGCCAGGTAAGAGGCTCAGCCTCCCCGTGTGTGTGCGCACGCATGTTAGAGTTGGGAAGATAAACCCCAAATTATCAACACCGACCACTTAATGTGGAAATGTTGCTGATATCATTCACTACCTCTGCCACGCACACACACACACACACTTACTCCAGAGACATGGCTTTGATTAGAGAGAGAACGTAAGTCTCTTCTAGCAGACTGTTTACATGTCTACGCTCTGTCTCTAGGGAGAAACCACACTGTAAATCCTACAGGGAGTCTTCCATCCTTTCCTGTCTCTCTCGCTCTCTCTTTCTTTCTCTCTCTCTCTCTGTCTCTCTCTCTTGTGTCTCTCTCTCTCTTTCTCTGTGTCTCTCTCTCTTTCTCTGTGTCTCTCTCTCTGTCTCTCTCTCTGTCTCTCTCTCTGTCTGTCTCTCTCTGTGTATCTCTCTCTGTGTGTGTCTCTCTCTCTCTCTCTCACTCTCTCTCTTTCTTTCTCTCTCTCTCTGTGTCTCTCTCTCTTTCTCTGTGTCTCTCTCTCTTTCTCTGTGTCTCTGTCTCTCTCTCTCTCTCTCTCTGTCTCTCTCTGTGTATCTCTCTCTGTGTGTGTCTCTCTCTCTCTCACTCTCTCTTTCTTTCTCTCTCTCTCTCTGTGTCTCTCTCTTTCTCTGTGTCTCTCTCTTTCTCTGTGTCTCTCTCTGTGTGTGTGTCTCTCTCTCTCTCTCTCTCTCTCTCTCTCACTCTGTGTTTCTCACTCTCTCTGTGTTTCTCTCTCTCTCTGTGTCTGTCTCCTGTCACAGTATTGTGTATCAGGGTTGGGGTCAATTCTAATTGAAGTCACACATGATTTGCATTTAACATTTTAAAATGTGAAACACATTTCAAATAAATAGCTTCTCCTTTTCAGTTTGGTGAGAATTCATTGAAAATATAAGCCTGTTTTTCTATATTTGAATTTGAATTTCCATTTACTTCCTGAATTAACTGACTTCAATTCGAACCCCTATTCTGCCACTAGGTGTGTGCTCTGCATTTTTCACCATGTCTCTCTCTCTCTTCTCTCTCTTTCTCTCTCTCTCTTCTCTCTCTTTCTCTCTCTCTCTTTAGATGGGTGGAGGCCCCTCCTCCTACAGTACCCAGTTCCTGTCCCACCCGGGCCCCCAGCAGGGTGGCCCCCGCGGCCCCCCAGGCATGAGCCCCAGTGGGATGGTCCAGTCCCGGCCTGGGCAGCACCCCTCCATGGGGGGCATGGGGTACCCCTCGCACCCCTCCCAGGGCCAGGGCCAGAGGATGTCCCAGCAACACCCAGGCTACCCAGGAGGCCAACAACAAGGGCTCAAACGCCCCTACCAATCAGAGGTACAGTGCTGGAAAACACATGGGTGCTTGCACACACACACACTAAGACGCTAACAATTTACATAAATTGTTTACTAGTGGCCACACACTCATCCCCTTTCCTCTGTCCCTCCCCCTCTCTCCTCTGTCCCTCCCCCTCTCTCCTCCGTCCCTCCCCCAGGGTTTCCCAGGGCAGCAGCAGTATGGTTCAGGGGGGATGTCTCCGTACCACGGTGGCCAGCCCCTCCAGTACCCCCCCCGGCCCCCAGCAGCGCCAGCCCCAGTCCCCCTCCTACCACCCCAACCAGCGTATGCCCCCCATGGGGCAGTACCAGCAAGGTCCAACCAACCCTGCACAGTACTACAAGGTAAACAGTGAGACCACACACACAAACACACTAGTTAAAGGGGCAATCAGCAGTTGCTACATCAATATTTTTACTTATAAATTAATGGTATGTACCCATTGATTTTTGAAGAATATGACTTATAAATGCCCCATGGGCTTAGTTCAACTGTTGTACCCCATCAGAACCCAAAATATAAACTTGTTTTACGCCAATGTCTGTAAACAAATGCTATAGAGCCTCAACATGGTTAAAACTATCATTTTGATATCATCTATAGCTCTGTCTGTGAATTTGAGTGGTTACATTTCTCCAGGCCCATCCCTCAGCTTTTTACCGAAAGGGGCTGGGAAAAATGCGTTGTTATTGTTTATACTGCTGATTGCGGCTTTAAGCTAGGAACGTGTGTATTTCAAAGGATTTTGATGGTGGACTAGAGCCTTTTAACACACCGCTAGTATGAACCTGGCTCCAAAGAGACTTCTCCTTGACACATATGTTTGTAGTGTAGAGACGCATCAAATCTGACCAGGGCCTGTATTCACAAAGCGTCTCAAGAGTAGGAGTGCTGATCTAGGATCAGTTTTGCCTGTTTATGTGTATGTGTGTTTCAGCAGGAGCAGCAGTATAACGGGCAGCAAGGTAACATGCCACCAGGAGCATCAGGAGGCTACAATGCCTTCACACAGGCTGCTGTCATTGCGGTAAGCCAACCTGGTGTGTGTGTGTGTGCCTTGGCAGTGTGGAGGAGATGGTGCTTTTTGTTTCCATGACATTATCCAGGCCTCCGTATGACCTTTGGAATTTTTGGGTCCTTTGCAAATGTAATGTAATTTGTGGACCCAAATTAAGCACATTTATTAATTAGGCCACACAGGGATTTTGTGTCCGGAAATTACGGATTGAGACAAATGTTTTTCGATGCAAGTCATCCGTTGACGTATAATGTACGGAGATGATTGTCCGTCAAACGCACAATATGTCTGCCCTTATGCCGTATGCAGCTCGTCTGAAAATAGTTAACTGGAGTTTAACTGACAATTGATTAATTCATGTACAATTTCATCCGTGTCCATACAGTGAGGGAAAAAAGTATTTGATCCCCTGCTGATTTTGTACGTTTGCCCACTGACAAAGAAATGATCAGTCTATCATTTTAATGGTAGGTTTATTTGAACAGTGGGAGACAGAATAACAACAAAAAAATCCAGAAAACGCATGTCAAAAATGTTATAAATTGATTTGCATTTTAATGAGGGAAATAAGTATTTTACCCCCTCAACAATCAAAAAGATTTCTGGCTCCCAGGTGTCTTTTATACAGGTAACGAGCTGAGATTAGGAGCACACTCTTAAAGGGAGTGCTCCTAATCTCAGCTTGTTACCTGTATAAAAGACACCTGTCCACAGAAGCAATCAATCAATCAGATTCCAAACTCTTCACCATGGCCAAGACCAAAGAGCTCTCCAAGGGTGTCAGGGACAAGATTGTAGACCTACACAAGGCTGGAATGGGCTACAAGACCATCGCCAAGCAGCTTGGTGAGAAGGTGACAACAGTTGGTGCGATTATTCGCAAATGGAAGAAACACAAAAGTACTGTCTATCTCCCTCGGCCTGGGGCTCCATGCAAGATCTCACCTCGTGGAGTTGCAATGATCATGAGAACGGTGAGGAATCAGCCCAGAACTACATGGGAGGATCTTGTCAATGATCTCAAGGCAGCTGGGACCATAGTCACCAAGAAAACAATTGGTAACACACTACGCCGTGAAGGACTGAAATCCTGCAGCGCCCGCAAGGTCCCCCTGCTCAAGAAAGCACATATACAGTGGGGAAAAAAAGTATTTAGTCAGCCACCAATTGTGCAAGTTCTCCCACTTAAAAAGATGAGAGAGGCCTGTAATTTTCATCATAGGTACACGTCAACTATGACAGACAAAATGAGATTTTTTTTCTCCAGAAAATCACATTGTAGGATTTTTTATGAATTTATTTGCCAATTATGGTGGAAAATAAGTATTTGGTCAATAACAAAAGTTTGTCAATACTTTGTTATATACCCTTTGTTGGCAATGAGACAGGTCAAACGTTTTCTGTAAGTCTTCACAAGGTTTTCACACACTGTTGCTGGTATTTTGGCCCATTCCTCCATGCAGATCTCCTCTAGAGCAGTGATGTTTTGGGGCTGTCGCTGGGCAACACAGACTTTCAACTCCCTCCAAAGATTTTCTATGGGGTTGAGATCTGGAGACTGGCTAGGCCACTCCATGACCTTGAAATGCTTCTTACGAAGCCACTCCTTCGTTGCCCGGGCAGTGTGTTTGGGATCACTGTCATGCTGAAAGACCCAGCCACGTTTCATCTTCAATGCCCTTGCTGATGGAAGGAGGTTTTCACTCAAAATCTCACGATACATGGCCCCATTCATTCTTTCCTTTACACGGATCAGTCGTCCTGGTCCCTTTGCAGAAAAACAGCCCCAAAGCATGATGTTTCCACCCCCATGCTTCAAAGTAGGTATGGTGTTCTTTGGATGCAACTCAGCATTCTTTGTCCTCCAAACACGACGAGTTGAGTTTTTACCAAAAAGTTATATTTTGGTTTCATCTGACCATATGACATTCTCCCAATCCTCTTCTGGATCATCCAAATGCACTCTAGCAAACTTCAGACGGGCCTGGACATGTACTGGCTTAAGCAGGGGGACACGTCTGGCACTGCAGGATTTGAGTCCCTGGCGGCGTAGTGTGTTACTGATGGTAGGCTTTGTTACTTTGGTCCCAGCTCTCTGCAGGTCATTCACTAGGTCCCCCCGTGTGGTTCTGGGATTTTTGCTCACTGTTCTTGTGATCATTTTGACCCCACGGGGTGAGATCTTGCGTGGAGCCCCAGATCGAGGGAGATTATCAGTGGTCTTGTATGTCTTCCATTTCCTAATAATTGCTCCCACAGTTGATTTCTTCAAACCAAGCTGCTTACCTATTGCATATTCAGTCTTCCCAGCCTGGTGCAGGTCTACAATTTTGTTTCTGGTGTCCTTTGACAGGTCTTTGGTCTTGATCATAGTGGAGTTTGGAGTGTGACTGTTTGAGGTTGTGGACAGGTGTCTTTTATACTGATAACAAGTTCAAACAGGTGCCATTAATACAGGTAACGAGTGGAGGACAGAGGAGCCTCTTAAAGAAGAAGTTACAGGTCTGTGAGAGCCAGAAATCTTGCTTGTTTGTAGGTGACCAAATACTTATTTTCCACCATAATTTGCAAATAAATTCATTAAAAATCCTACAATGTGATTTTATGGATTTTTTTTCCTCAATTTGTCAGTCATAGTTGACGTGTACCTATGATGAAAATTACAGGCCTCTCTCATCTTTTTAAGTGGGAGAACTTGCACAATTGGTAGCTGACTAAATACTTTTTTTCCCCACTGTACATGCTCATCTGAAGTTTGCCAATGATCATCTGAATGATTCAGAGGAGAACTGGGTGAAAGTGTTGTGGTCAGATGAGACCAAAATGGAGCTCTTTGGCATCAACTCAACTCGCCATGTTTGGAGGAGGATGAATGATGCCTATGACCCCCAAGAACACCATCCCCACCGTCAAACAAGGAGGTGGAAACATTATGCTTTGGGGGTGTTTTTCTGCTAAGGGGACAGGACAACTTCACCGCATCAAAGGGACGATGGACGGGGCCATGTACCGTCAAATCTTGGGTGAGAACCTCCTTCCCTCATCCAGGGCATTGAAAATGGGTCGTGGATGGGTATTCCAGCATGACAATGACCCAAAACACACGGCCAAGGCAACAAAGGAGTGGCTCAAGAAGAAGCACATTAAGGTCCTGGAGTGGCCTAGCCAGTCTCCAGACCTTAATCCCATAGAAGATCTGTGGAGGAAGCTGAAGGTTCGAGTTGCCAAACGTCAGCCTCGAAACCTTAATGACTTGGAGAAGATCTGCAAAGAGGAGTGGAACAAAATCCCTCCTGAGATGTGTGCAAACCTGGTGGCCAACTACAAGAAATGTCTGACCTCTGATTGCCAACAAGGGTTTTGCCACCAAGTACTAAGTCATGTTTTGCAGAGGGGTCAAATACTTATTTCCCTCATAAAAATTCAAATCAATTTATAACATTTTTGACATGTGTTTTTCTGGAATTTTTTGTTGTTATTCTGTCCCTCACTGTTCAAATAAACCTACCAGTAAAATTAAAGACTGATCATGTCTTTGTCAGTGGGCAAATGTACAAAATCAGCAGGGGATCAAATATTTTTTTCCCTCACTGTACATCTTTGTGGCCTAGCCTTGTATAATATAATGTATGATGTTGTTTTTCTATGTTTCAAATTCTCTCTCCCTTCCGCCCTCTTTCAGCAGGGTAGCCGTGTGATGCCGGGATACCCCAGTTCTCCTCTGGGTGGTAACCCCACCCCTCCCATGACACCGGGCAGCATGCCCCCCTACCTCTCCCCCGGTGGGCCAGGGCCAGACACCAAGCCCCCCTACCTTCCCCAAGGCCCCGACGTCAAGCCCAACATCAACTCCCTTCAGCTCCCCACTGGTGAGACCCACTTACTACAACACTCCTTTATTAAGGGCTCTATTCAATCTGTATCGCTGAAGCGATATGGATTGAATAGAGCCGCGATACGGACTGATGGAAATATATATAGAGATCAGACCTGAGTCGTGTTCATTAGACAGCAAACGGAAGAAAAAAGGACTGAAACAGGAAGGGACTTGTCCAATAAGAAATAAAATAAAAATATTAAGTTGCAAAATGTTTTGAAATGTTTTCTGTTGCATTCCCTAATGAAGAGGACCCTGGGCCGAATGCGTACGTTAAATACTCTCCTCATCTCCCCTCCCCCTCCAGGTAACCCTAGCGACGACCTGCGGCTGACCTTCCCAGTGCGCGACGGCGTGGTGCTTGAGCCGTTCCGATTGGAGCACAACCTGGCGGTCAGCAACCATGCCTTCCAGCTGCGTGACTCCGTCTACAAGACCCTCATGATGAGGTCAGAGCCCACCGCCAATCAAAGCAGCCGTTACTGTGACGTGATCCAGTGTTTTAACACCATAGTTTTCCCACATTTATTAATTGGCGATTTTGGTGTGTGTGCACGCGCGTTCATGCGTCCGCATTTGTGTGTGCCTGTGTGGATCTGATGACTGCATGTGTATGTCCTCTAGGCCTGACCTGGAGCTGCAGTTTAAGTGTTATCACCACGAGGACAGACAGATGAACACTAACTGGCCCGCCTCTGTACAGGTACAATCGCACTTACAGGTACCCACTCAAATACACATACACACACACACAGTCTTAAACAGCTAACCTTGTGGGGACATACAATTCAGTCCCATTCAAAATCCTATTTTCCCAAACCCCTAACCTATACCCTAACCTTAACCCCAAAACCTAACCTTAACCCTAAACCTAACCCTAGCTCCTAACCCTAAAACTAACCCCATCTCCTAAACCTAAAACTAACCCTGTCTCCTAACCCTAACACTAATTCTAACCTTAACCCTAAACCCCCTAGAAATAGCATTTGACCTTGTGGGGACCAACAAAATGCCCCCAGTTGGTCAAATTTTTATTGGTTTACTATTCTTGTGGGGACTTCTGGTCCTCACAAGTATAGTTAAACACGTCCACACACACACAGATGAAAATGCGACATCAAACAAAACACAATATTACTAAGTGTTTTGTTTTTTAGATGTGTTTTTTTTTAGATACAACCTGATCTATGTGCATTTACACACACCTATCAGAATGGGTTAGGCTGGGTTTACACTCCCCCAAGTGCTCTCACTGACTCTTGCATAAAGTGCCATGCACCTACATCTCTGTGTGGAGCCCTCCATACAAGTGGTGAAGTTGTAGTGGAATTTTACTGTGTCTCTTTCTGTTAACAGTGTCTCACACTTATCATACATGTTTGACCTGTTGCATACTTAGAAATGCGCCTGTTGTAGACAGACAGGGTGTCTGAGGTTTTCTCTCACAAGGTCGGCTCAGCGGGAGTGGAAATATTGGCTGAATGCCCAGACTCTGTGGTTGCCAGGTGTTCTCCTCCTCTGCAGCCGGTCTCTGGGAGCAAACGCTTTGCTGAGAAAGGATGCACTTGGCTATCTTTGTGTAACCCGTAGTGATGGTATAAATATGCTGAGGGGGAAATACCTCGTCAGAACTTCTGACTAACCTCCACATGAAGTGCTGTTTGTCTATAATTTCTCTGCTAGCTTGAAAAAAACATAAACTCATTTAAGCTTGACTTTGGGGTATTTAGTGGTAATTTCCACGACAGTCATGAAGCCTTTGCGGAAAACGAGTGGAGTGGAGATCCAGCCTTAGATCTGGGTTAGCAAGGTGATGACTATGAACTTGATTGGCTAGCCAGTTGAGGACTTCATTGGTTAGACAGGGTCGCGTTCAGGAGGGTGCAACGTACTGAATGTTTTAGATAGAAATACCATCAATAGAACTGATATGATTCCTTACTCTACATCTCTATTCTGCATGTCTTTTCTACACAACGTATTTCTATCTGAACGTTCCACAATATTGCACCCTATACTAAAGGTGGCCCAGGGACTGTGTTCATAAAGTGTCTCAAGAGTACGAGTGCTGATCTACGATCAATTTTGCCTTTTGAATCATAACCAATAAGATTATATGGACAGGGGGGGGACCTGATCCTAGATCAGAACTCCTACTCTGAGCCCAGTGTGACGACTGTGACTAGCGTGTTAGCCGATCCTCCATTCACCTGTCTGTCATGTAGGTGTCTGGTCCTTGCTTACAGGTGAGTGTGAACGCCACACCGCTCACCATCGAGAGGGGCGACAACAAGACGTCCCACAAGCCCCTCTACCTCAAGCAGGTGTGTCAGCCGGGGCGCAACACCATTCCAGATCACCGTCACCGCCTGCTGCTGCGTAAGTAGTACCATACAGGCAAAAATGCTTTATGAAGTCATAGTCAGGTTGCGTACTGTTTGTATAAGGACATTTTGTTAGGTCTTCGTCTTGGTTGTAATCTGGTTCTGATCTTTGATAGTAACCAAAATATGTCATCTTTCCCATGATATCTTTATCTTGTCATGAAAAGGATATATTTACCTGTGTGTAATCCAAATTTTCTCTCTCTCACCCCCGCTCTCTCCAGTCCCACCTGTTTGTGTTGCAGCTGGTCCACAGGCCGTCAGTACGCTCGGTTCTTCAGGGGTTAATGAAGAAGAGACTACTGCCTGCAGAGCACTGTGTCACTAAGAGTGAGTGGAACACATACACATACCTGACTGGCTGGCTGGTTCTCAGAAATACATAAAGACTTCTTCTCACCACAATTCTCACCTGTTCTCTTCCCTGCTCTCTTGTCTCTTCCTCTCCCTCTCTCTTTCTCTCCCTCCCACAATCTCCCTCTCCTCAGTTAAGAGGAACTTCAGTAGTGGGACCATCCCCGGGACCCCAGGGCAGAACGGAGAGGACGGTGTGGAACAGACGGCAATCAAAGTCTCCCTGAAATGTCCTATCACCTTCAGGCGCATCCAGCTGCCCGCACGCGGACACGACTGTAGACACATACAGGTTAGAGACTAGACACACAGGCACACACACACACACACACACACACACACACATAGAGGTGAAAACACACCTACTCGCACACACACACACATACCATCACTCTTAACATACAGGTGAGAGACAAACACACACACACACACCCTAAACCTCTTTCTGTGTCTCTCTCTGCAGTGTTTTGACCTGGAGTCGTACCTACAGTTGAACTGTGAGAGAGGGACCTGGAGATGCCCTGTGTGCAAGTACGTTAACACCACAATTTACCTATAATCTTTCAGCATGCCTTATTTTTCTCACAGACAAAGACCTGTTGTGTTTTAGTCATCCGGACCATGTGTATTTCTCCACAACAGTAAGACGGCGCTGCTGGAAGGACTAGAAGTGGACCAGTACATGCTGGGCATTCTAATATACATACAGAAGTAAGTGTGTGTCTGTCCCCTACTACAGGGGTATTTAAATCTGAGCCTGGAGGTCCGGAGTACTGCTCGCTGGTTTTCCCAGCTAGTGTCCAGAATGAAAAGCAACAGAATTTGCCTGCCCTACTATGTTCATATTTAGTTATTCTTTAGCTTAACCATAATTAGGTCTACAGTTGGGTGTCCTTGAAAGGGGCCCCTTGAAATCTTTTTTGCATTCTCTTTCTCTTCCTTGTCTGACCTCTCTCTCCCCCTTTTCCCTCCTCAGTTCGGACTATGAGGAGATCACCATTGACCCAGTGTGTGGCTGGAGGCCGGTACCCGTCAAACCAGATATCCACATAAAGGAGGAAGCAGACGGGCCGGTGTTGAAGCGCTGCCGGACGGTCAGCCCCAGTCACATGATGATGCCCAGCGTCATGGAGATGATCGCTGCCCTGGGACCAGCCTCCTCACCCTACCAGGGTCTACCACCAGGGGGCAGGAACACACCTGACTACAACAGCCAAGGTAGGGAGGAGACAGACGCGCGCGCACACACACTGCAAATTATGTGCATTGTTTCCTATTAGTTACAATTGAAAATTGTACACACACTCACACGTGTCCTCATATGTGTGTTGTTCTTCCAGCAGGTCCAGGATACTCCAGCCAGTCAGGCTTCTCTGACTTCCCCAACACCCCTGGAACTCCCACCCTGAGAGACTTCACCTCCCCCGGACCCCCTAACATCTACCAACAGGACCAGGTAACACACACACACACACACAGGCACACACTTACACACTAATGCACAGACACACAGGATCACAGCGGTAAACAGACAGTAGTGCTGAGCGATTTAGTACTTTTTGAGGTCTGTTCGGTATCGGTTTGATTATTAAAAAAGGATCACAGTTTTTTAAATGTTTTTTATATATACAGTGAGGGAAAAAAGTATTTGATCCCCTGATGATTTTGTACGTTTGCCCACTGACAGTATAATTATATAATTTTAATGGTAGGTTTATTTGAACAGTGAGAGACAGAATAACAACAACAAAATCCAGAAAAATGCATGTCAAAAATGTAATAAATTAATTTGCATTTTAATGAGAGAAATAGGTATTTGACCCCTCTGCAAAACACGACTTAGTACTTGGTGGCAAAACCCTTGTTGGCAATCACAGAGGTCAGACGTTTCTTGTAGTTGGCCACCAGGTTTGCACACATCTCTGGAGGGATTTTGTCCCACTCCTCTTTGCAGATCTTCTCCAAGTCATTAAGGTTTCGAGGCTGACGTTTGGCAACTCGAACCTTCAGCTCCCTCCACAGATTTTCTATGGGATTAAGGTCTGGAGACTGGCTAGGCCACTCCAGGACCTTAATGTGCTTCTTCTTGAGCCACTTGTTGTCTTGGCCGTGTGTTTTGGGTCATTGTCATACTGGAATACCCATCCACGACCCATTTTCAATGCCCTGGCTGAGGGAAGGAGGTTCTCACCCAAGATTTGACGGTACATGGCCCCGTCCATCGTCCCTTTGATGCGGTGAAGTTGTCCTGTCCCCTTAGCAGAAAAACACCCCCAAAGCATAATGTTTCCACCTCCATGTTTGACGGTGGGGATGGTGTTCTTGGGGTCATAGGCAGCATTCCTCCTCCTCCAAACACGGCGAGTTGAATTGATGCCAAAGAGCTCCATTTTGGTCTCATCTGACCACAACACTTTCACCCAGTTTTCCTCTGAATCATTCAGATGTTCATTGGCAAACTTCAGACGGGCCTGTATATGTGCTTTCTTGAGCAGGGGGACCTTGCGGGCGCTGCAGGATTTCAGTCCTTCACGGCGTAGTGTGTTACCAATTGTTTTCTTGGTGCCTATGGTCCCAGCTGCCTTGAGATCATTGACAATATCCTCCTGTGTAGTTCTGGGCTGATTCCTCACCGTTCTCATGATCATTGCAACTCCACGAGGTGAGATCTTGCATGGAGCCCCAGGCCGAGGGAGATTGACAGTTATTTTGTGTTTCTTCCATTTGCGAATAATCGCACCAACTGTTGTCACCTTCTCACCAAGCTGCTTGGCGATTGGTCTTGTAGCCCATTCCAGCCTTGTGTAGGTCTACAATCTTGTCCCTGACATCCTTGGAGAGCTCTTTGGTCTTGGCCATGGTGGAGAGTTTGGAATCTGATTGATTGATTGCTTCTGTGGACAGGTGTCTTTTATACAGGTAACAAACAGAGATTAGGAGCACTGCTGTGCTCCTAATCTCAGCTCGTTACCTGTATAAAAGACACCTGGGAGCCAGAAATCTTTCTGATTGAGAGGGGGTCAAATACTTATTTCCTTCATTAAAATGCAAGTCAATTTATAACATTTTTGACATGAGTTTTTCTGGATTTGTTTGTTGTTATTCTGTCTCTCACTGTTCAAATAAACCTACTGTTAAAATTATAGACTGATCATGTCTTTGTCAGTGGGCAAACTTACAAAATCAGCAGGGGATCAAATACTTTTTTCCCTCACTGTATATAAACTCAGCAAAAAAAGAAACGTCCCTTTTTCAGGACCCTGTCTTTCAAAGATAATTCGTAAAAATCCAAATAACTTCATTGTATGGCCCTCCTGTAGCTCAGTTGGTAAAGCATGGCGCGTGCAACGCCAGGGTTGTGGGTTCGATTCCCATGGGGGGCCAGTAGGGTCCCTGCTCATCTGTGTGAACGTGCCTTAGGCATGCTGCAAGGAGGCATGAGGACTGCAGATGTGGCCAGGGCAATAAATTGCAATGTCCGTACTGTGAGACGCCTAAGACAGCGCTACAGGGAGACAGGACGGACAGCTGATCGTCCTCGCAGTGTCAGGCCACGTGTAACAACACCTGCACAGGATCGGTTCATCCGAACATCACACCTGCGGGACAGGTACAGGATGGCAACAACAACTGCCCGAGTTACACCAGGAACGCACAATCCCTCCATCAGTGCGCAGACTGTCCGCAATAGGCTGAGAGAGGCTGGACTGAGGGCTTGTAGGCCTGTTGTAAGGCAGGTCCTCACCAGACATCACCGGCAACAACGTCGCTTATGGGAACAAACCCACCGTCGCTGGACCAGACAGGACTGGCAAAAAGTGCTCTTCACTGATGAGTCACGGTTTTGTCTCACCAGGGTTGATGGTCGGATATATATAAAATTGTTTTATTTTTATTAAATGCACTATGCATTATGTGGATTGAATGCTGTAACAACACAGAATGACACAATTGATAAAAGTCCCACGATGGTAGTGACTGCCTGTTACTGCTTATCACTTATTAACCATTTAACCACTTTACTTTAATAAAATATTTCAGTTGTTGTGTATATTACATTTGTTTCATTTGATGACTTTATTATTTCATTCCAAGTCATCTCATCGCTACAGATCTGCTGCCTGACAAAATCACTATTTTAGTAGTTCTTCAAAGTAAGGCCTACGTTTATGACTGCTGAATACCAACTATCAATCACTTAGATCATGTATTTTCAGGTAGAGATGCCTCCTGAATCAACTGTTCTCTATCCCTCTATCCAGCAATCTTCTGTCTCTTTTACGTAGCAGGCGTAAAAGAAACACAGACCGGACAAGTAGGCGCGCAATGGATTATGGTCATTATACACTGAACTAAAATATAAATGCAACATGCGACAATTTCAAAGATTTTACTGAGTTACAGTTCATATAAGGAAATCAGTCAATTGAAATAAATTCATTAAATCTGGGAAAACAGATATGCATCTGATGGTCACAAATACCAAGAACAACAAAAGAAATGGGGGCATGGATCAGAAAACCAGTCAGTATCTGGTGTGCCCACCATTTGCCTCATGCAGCGCAACACATCTCCTTCGCATAGAATTGATCAAACTGTTGATTGTTGCCTGTAGAATGTTGTCCCACTCCTCTTCAATGGCTGTGCGAAGTTGCTGGATATTGGCAGGAACTGGAACACGCCGATGTACACGTTGATCCAGAGCATCCCAAACGTGCTTAATGGGTGACATGTCTGAGTATGCAGGCCATGGAAGAATTGGGACATTTTCAGCTTCCAGGAATTGTGTACAGATCCTTGCGACATGGGGCTATGCATCATCATGCTGAAACATGAGGTGATGGCGGCGGGTGAATGGCACGACAATGGGCCTCAAGATCCCGTCACGACATCTCTGTGTATTCAAAATGCCATCGATAAAATGCAATTGTGTTCGTTGTCCGTAGCTTATGCCTGCCCATACCATAACCCCACCGCCACAATGGGGCACTCTGTTCACAACGTTGACATCAGCAAACCGCTCGCCCACACAACACCATACGTCTGCCATCTGCCTGGTACAGTTGAAACTGGGAAAGTCAATTATGACGCCGAACTGCAGGTCAAGACCCTGGTGAGGACTATGAGCATGCAGATGAGCTTCCCTGAGATGGTTTCTGACAGTTTGTGCAGAGATTCTTCGGGTGTGCAAACCCACAGTTTCATCAGCTGTCCCGTTGGCTGGTCTCAGACGATCCCGCAGGTCAAGAAGCTGGATGTGGAGGTCCTGGGCTGGCGTGGTTACACGTGGTCTGAGGTTGTGAGGCCGGTTGGATGTACTGCCAAATTCTCTAAAATGACATTGGAGGCAGCTTATGGTAGAGAAATGATCATTCAATTCTCTGGCAACAGCTCTGGTCGACCTTCCTGCAGTCGGCATGCCAATTGAGCGCTCCTTTAAAACTTGAGACATCTGTGACATTGTTTTGTGACACAACTTCATATTTTAGTGGCCTTTTATTGTCCCCAGCACAAGGTGCACATGTGTAATGATCATGCTGTTTAATCAGCTTCTTGATATGCCACACCTGTCAGGTGGATGGATTATTTTGGCAAAGTAGAAATGCTCACTAACAGGGATGTAAACAAATGTGTGGACAAAATTGAGAGAAATTACAGTGGGGGAAAAAAGTATTTAGTCAGCCACCAATTGTGCAAGTTCTCCCACTTAAAAAGATGAGAGAGGCCTGTAATTTTCATCATAGGTACACGTCAACTATGACAGACAAAATGAGAAAAAATCATCCAGAAAATGACATTGTAGAATTTTTTATGAATTTATTTGCAAATTATGGTGGAAAATATGTATTTGGTCAACAACAAAAGTTTCTCAATACTTTGTTATATACCCTTTGTTGGCAATGACACAGGTCAAACGTTTTCTGTAAGTCTTCACAAGGTTTTCACACTGTTGCTGTTATTTTGGCCCATTCCTCCATGCAGATCTCCTCTAGAGCAGTGATGTTTTGGGGCTGTTGCTGGGCAACACGGACTTTCAACTCCCTCCAAAGATTTTCTATGGGGTTGAGATCTGGAGACTGGCTAGGCCACTCCAGGACCTTGAAATGCTTCTTACGAAGCCACTCCTTCGCTGCCCGGGCGGTGTGTTTGGGATCATTGTCATGCTGAAAGACCCAGCCACGTTTCATCTTCAATGCCCTTGCTGATGGAAAGAGGT